ATGAATTAAAAAAAAACTTGATTAGAACACAAAAAACAAATACAAATTTTAATTATTACACCAAATTACCACAGTGGATGAAATCGGCCGAGTGGCAAACGAGTGGGGCCCGGGTGGTTGGCGCTTTAGCGCTCCGAACCTGGGAGGGGGGAGGAGGGGGAGGAGGATAGAGATTCCTAAAAACGAATGACTGGATTTTCTCAAGAGTGAGGTTCGGTTTCCACTCCGGCGGCTTCGCGACGCTAGTGCTTGGCGCCAAGCGCTCTTGCATGAAGCCGATAGTGCTTCGTGCGAAAGACTTGCCTCCATCACCATCGCCTCGTTGCTGCCGGCGTTCCGCTTCGGTCCCGTCGTTCCGCTGACCCGCCGCCAAGACGGGCAGTAGAGTAGGGTTGTTGTCAACCTTGGTACTACCGAGGATTCACACCTCCCACCGACGGGCCTACAGTAATGATAATGTTGTTTCACGTGTTTATCGTGACCACGCGTTGGATTAAGGAGTGCTAGGTTGGGCGTGCGCCTGTTGAGGCGCCCGCCTTTGACGCGGTTTTTTTCGTAAGTACGCGCGGGTCCTATTACAAGGTTTTCTAGTTAGCACCATGGAGGTTCAGGCAGAGGACGCGGAGCAATTGGATGGAAGATCGGCGGCCCCTCCAGTAAGAGCCGATATCCCGACATCAGACGAGGACCGAATGAAGATCTTGATTGCCAAATGTTATGAGGAGGGTACAATTCCAGAGAAGTTCCGTCACGGAGAGTGGGTGGTGGAGAATGGAGTACGGTTGTTTAAAGTGACGCCAGGGTTGGACCCCCTGGTGACAGCTTGGCTCAAAGAAAGAACAGTTACTGTGATTTTTCAAGGCGATGCAAGGGATTTACCACTGAGAATTAGAGAAGACTTGGTGCGGGCGTATGAGAATGGGTGGTACCGAGACAGAGTATTTGACAGGTCAGTGAAGAGAGGGAGAATTCATGGAGAAGGTCCAAACGTCCTCTCCTATGTTGCAAAGACCAGGGAGGTAGCTCAGTGGATGATCGCCAAAGGGGAAGATAAGGTTACGATTCGTGGAGTGGAGTATGGGATGTTGTTMAAGCCATGGATGACCAGGGTGGAGCTGGATGAGAGGAGGCGTCAGGATGARGAATCGAAGTTCTGGGTGGTCGCTTTAAGGGTTCCCCTTAGAGCGATGTTCCATGTGGAAGATATGATTGAAACCTCTATGGGGAAAATCATAAAATCTCTCCCACCGGAGCCGGACAAATCACGACCGAAGCTCATGAATTTAAAATTTGAACTAGTTCGGGAAGCGGAGGAGAGATTTGAGGAGGAACTCCCAATTAAGTTGGAGAATGGGGAGATTTATCGTATCAAGACGGCTTGTAAACACACACCCTGGTGTGAGAAGTGCAAATGGTACTTTCATACGGCAACGGAAGGCTGTCCTCGTGCGGGAGAACCTGACCCCGAGGAAGCAAATTCGAGACCAGGTCAGCGACAACGAGGTCGTAACGAGGGTTGGAACCGTGGGTTCAGAGACGCGGCAAGAGATGCGGGTGAAAGGGCGAACGGAAGCAATGAAGCGGAGTCCTCCAACAGAGGCGGTCAAATGAGGTCAAACACTCAGGGTCAAGGCAGTAGGATGGAAGTCAGCAGACCGGCGGGAAGAGGCGATGGGTCGACTGGTAATCGCCAAGGGGCAAGTCAAGTCATTGGTCAAGGGCAGGGTCTCTATCAACACCCTCCCCCCATGCTGGCATACCTTCAGGTATGCCGGGTCTTGACCTCCAGCAGTGGAATGCGTATTATCAACTGATGAATCAGGATCCAAGATTGGGCATGCCGACAGCATGGCTAGGACAGGGGTCAACTCCATATTACGCACCTCCATATGGCTTCAATCAACGGCCAGGAGGGCCGGTTATGCAGTACACTCCGCAATATGTGCCACCGACTTCTTTAACGCAAGGCGTATTGCCTATGGACCTTTCACTGGTTGGAGGGCCCTCAGCCACCGGAGGTTATCGCCCTCCCAGTACCGAGCAAGACGGAATCCGAGAGATACATCAAGTCACGTCCTCCGGAACCAGCGGAAGCTTGAAGGAAGCAGCCAGGTCACCCTCTCCTGGACGCATTCCGGAGGGCGTATAGATCCAAGGATACGAAGAGAAATGGCTCTTGCCACTTGTTTGCACGCTCCAAGATCAGGAAATACACATCATTGGCCTCGT